GGGGGGGGGGGGGGGTGATGTATTGGACGTCTGGAGAAATGACGTATTTGAATCGAACGGAAGTTCTATTTGAGAATTTTTTTATCTATTTTGAGAGGATTTCAGCTGGAGGGGAATAGACTTGTGTTTTTATTTCAATGAAAATGTTTTAGTCAAATGAAATGTATAGTTTATTCAATATAAATGAAGGGTACATGTTAATAAATTCACTCATTCACTCTTGTAATTAAAAATTGAACAAAAATTATTAGAAAAACATTCATTTATTTAATTCAAATAAATTATTTCTCTGAGTGGATTTTGGACTTGACTTTTTCATCTTCTCTTCTCGTAAAGGAAGAATAATAATTTTTTCAACTCATCAGTCTTATTTTTCTCGCATAAAATTAATTTCTTGTGGAATTTTAAAAATGTTCAAAAATTTGTTACCGTAAAAATAAAATTATCTTTGAAAATTGACTATTTATAAATTATTTAACAAAGTAGATTGCAATCTGGTAATAATTATAGAAATTTTTCTCAGTCTCAATTTTTTTAATATTCATTTAAATAAATAATAGAATGATTGCAAAACAACGATTTTTAAAACGCGAGGTTTCTAACAAAATTAATGGTCTATTCTTGAATTTCGGGGGAAATTCTCCAGGCTATGTAATTACACAACTCTAAACATTCATTCTTTTCAAATTTCCAAATACGAAAATGACGATTCAGTTGTGGTATCTGAATAACCGGAAGAGGCGCAGTATGGGATTCGTAATTCACCTCCAGCAATTGTTCCGTTCCATCCCATTCTATTCAACGAGTGAAAGTCAATCCCTAAAACCCCTATTCATTAATTCATCAATTAAATTGACATAAAAATGTAAACAGACGATAAAAAAGGAAGTTGGGGAGAAATTCTCTCCTTCACGGTTGGCGGCGCGCCTGACGCATCCCGATTATCTCGAAAAGTTTCACTTTTCAGAACTTTCTTTGCAAGTCCATATCGAAAACAACAATTATCTTTTGTTGATAGCCAGCCACCATCGACTAATTGAACATGTGGGATTGGTCACACAAATTTTCAGCATTAAATTAAATTAAAAATAAACAAATCAATTAAATTTTTAATTCATCAGGGATTTCCCAGAATAATGGCCGGAATTTTCATAATTTTCAAAACTGAAAATCGGAATTTCACGTGAAATTTATAATATAAAATGAAACAATAATTGCAAAAATATTATCATTATCATTGAAAAATATAAAAAAATTATCTCTAAAAATTTCGCATTGCAGAATTTTTTTTGCAACTTCATATAAAACATAACGATTCCCTTTTGTTGATAACCAGCCACCATCAACCAATTCAAAACAATAGCCAGAATGTTCATAATTTTCAAATTAAAAAAATCGGACTTTCATATTAAATATTTCGAGAAAACTGTCGATGTAAAAAAAAAGATTGTAAATTTTGTAAAGGGAACTGGAGCCCAAAAGTCCGTAAAAGGAATAAAGAATCCATTCATATTAAATATTTAATAAATTAATTGATCCGTCAATAACAGAATAAATATAAATTAAAATCATTATTTTCTCAGATTCAAATATTTTGAATGTACTCTTTCAGAATTCAAACAATAAGTTTCAATAAAAATTGCAAAAATATTATCATTGAAAAATCTTAAAAAACATTATGCTTTTCTCGAAAAGTTTCACTTTGCAAGTCCATATCAAACACAGCAATTTCCTTTTGTTGACAGCAAGCCACCATCACAAAATTCAAATCGATCATACTAAACGTGTGGGTTTGGCGAAAATGTGTGGGAGTGACCTAGAATAATCGAAAGTGTCGAAAATGTTTCAAAATCCTAGTAAATACCGCAAGGACACCAACACCTCCAAGGACAGTAACAAATGATCTACTGCTGATTGACAATTAACCCCCTCCACCGTCGGCACAATCAATGTTTTAATTAATAACTCAGAGACATTGAAAAATTTACGGCTCATCATTGACTGCATAATCCACGCAATGTAATTGCGTCATCTTACATAAATACGAGGACAGCATTCCAGAGAACGGGGACGCGTGTTCGTGTGTGACTGATGATATTCAGTGAGATATTTAAATGAACAAAGGGGAGTTTCTTTTTAATGCAGATAGCCGCCCTGCAATGGGCATTGAAGTCTCCATGGGATGAGCTGTCATCATTTCTGAGCAAAAATTATCCTAAATCATTTCTCACGAAAATACCATCACGTGGGAAAAATATGTAATTGATACTCTGGATCACGCGAGATGATTACGTATTTGAGATGTTGGGGATGGGGAGGGGTTTTTAAATAATTAGTGCATTTTGATGGTGTGGATCACGCGACGAAGGAGGTTTTTCTCGGTAGACGGGGAAAAAAAGTTGCTGATTTTGAAGAATTCATGGTTCCAACATGCACTGTTTACTCAATTTTAGAAGAAAATTTGCTAAATTGAGGTATAAAAGCTATTCATTTTGCGTGAGAATTGTTTCCAAATTGTTTTTAAATTAACATTAAATATTTTATAAATTAATTGATTCATCGATAAAAAAATAAATATAAATTTCGTGTAAATTCTTCAGGTTTAAAATCTCATAATTTTTTGCTTGACTTTAAATTGAAGTTTTTTTATTAGAAATATTTTTAACTGAAGACGTTTCAAAGAGATAAATTTCAAGATTGATTGAGCACTCGTGGAGTCAAGGCATCAGATGATGTATTTTTAATAACAAAGGATATAAATTACATTGAGACAGGATTATGAATTTCAGGGACGTGAATCAGTCTGAGGAAATGATGCATTTGAGTTGAATAAAACTGAAAGTTTTCTATTCATTTCAACAATATTTTTGCCGGAGATTGATAAACGCATTTATTTATTTCATTTCTAATTAATAAAGCCCACATTTAAATCAATGAAGCATTTGTTTATATTTTTTTTAATTGTTTATTTGACGTGAATAAAAAAATCGATCAAATCACTTCATTTGATCCAAACACAGTTTATCTAGTTCAACTGAACAATTGCCTTCAGAACAGATTAATTCAACTACAATAATTCTGTTCCACTGAAGCGAACGGAAAAAATCTTCTCGAAAAAGTGGAATTTTACACATTTCCAAGATGTTTCGTTCGTTAAATTGAATCAAGGCAGCCGTTCGCAATTCAGAAATTTTAACTGGAAACTATAAACTTTTTTCTGATTGATGAACTCATTTATTTATATTTTTTAAATTGTTAATTTGATGTGAATAAAAAAATCGATCAAATCACTTCATTTGATCCAAACACAGTTTATCTAGTTCAACTGAACAATTTCCCTCAGAACAGATTAATTCCACTACAATAATTCTGTTCCACTGAAGCGAACGGAAAAAATCTTCTCGAAAAAGTGGAATTTTACACATTTCCAAGATGTTTCGTTCGTTAAATTGAATCAAGGCGGCCGTTCGCAATTCAGAAATTTTAACTGGAAACTATAAACTTTTTTCTGATTGATGAACTCATTTATTTATATTTTTTAAATTGTTAATTTGATGTGAATAAAAAAATCGATCAAATCACTTCATTTGATCCAAACACAGTTTATCTAGTTCAACTGAACAATTTCCCTCAGAACAGATTAATTCAACTACAATAATTCTGTTCCACTGAAGCAAACGGAAAAAATCTTCTCGAAAAAGTGGAATTTTACACATTTCCAAGATTTTTCGTTCGTTAAATTGAATCAAGGCGGCCGTCCGCAATTCAGAAATTTTAACTGGAAACTATAAACTTTTTTTCTCCTCGTACAAAATGTCTCTCTGGGTTTTGCTGACGCCGACGCCGAGGAACCGGTCCTGAAGGATAATGTCCTGTCGATTTTTTCACCGGAGGTATGAGATTTTATTATCCACTCCGCCATATTGGTACTTTCGTGGGTATTTTCAGGTGGATGACGTCAGTGAACGTTGCGTGGTGATTCACTAGAAAGGACGGGTGGATTTCACCGGAGATATTCGTGGCCATTTATTTGAAACTGTGAAGGGACCTTTCTGGATCTATTGATATTCCGGTGATGATTAGGGTTCGATCGTACTGAAGCCTTCAGTTATGAATGCTGATGTGATCCACTGGAATCCACCACCTAGGGAGACAAATAAGGACTGGAGGAGACGAGGCAGCTGCTGGGGACCTCGAGACATTGACCTTTTTCGATATGAACAAATTACGTCGGGTGTTGCGCAGAAATAGAGCGACATTCTATGATCCAATTTCAAGTGGACGACAACTGCGATTCGATACATATTTCTTGGATTTTATTTCCAGTTTTTTTAGATAGGGTTATTACGCGAATATCCGTCATTCGATATGGAATTTCTAGAATGTGAGAACGGTTTTTCAGATCGAGTGCGAGGGGACAGAGCAGATTCTCTGACGAACGTTATTTGCAGAAAAAAAACGTGCAAATGGATTTTTTAATGAAATTAAATCAATTGTGGCTGCATCTAGAAAATGAATCAATTTTTAATATTTTGAAAATGATTTCAGGGTGGAAAATTC